ATAATATCTTTCTTCATCAGGAGTGTGTAATATAACGCTATAAAATCTTAGTATCTCAGAGAATAACAGGTTGCTGGTGTGCTCATAAACACTCTCAATGGGGCTTTGGTAATGAAGCTTGATGATTTTCAATGAAACATTATGCTTACCGTCTTGTCCGTTTTATTAACCCTTCCATATGTCAGCATCTCAAGGGGGTTCTTTTGTATTTTGTGACTGTGTTCCTAGAAATGGGGAAAAGACAAACGTCTCAAAACAAAAAAGGAAGCATGCGAGGACACAACGTCCTCTCTCGTAATGTGACATGCGTCTCTCAGTGGACTTCTTCAATACCAAGTGAAAAATTAAATGATGAAATGATAAGAAAAGAGAGAACGTGTTATTATCACAACGCTAATCAACATCCCGTTAATCATCAGGATGCTGCCGAGTTTAAAAAATGTGTGTTTCATTCCATTTAAGGTTAATTTTGGAAATAATGGAAATCTTTTAAAAGTGAGAGTGGACTGATTGATGTATTCTGTTATAAAATATTCTATATTTATAATTTATTGTGTATGTTGTACGATACCGTACACATACTGTACAACATGTTATATATTCTGTGCTATTTCGTTGTACTGTACTGTATATACTATTCTACTAAATTTCACTTTGTAGATTTATATTTCATGCTATAATAATTATACTATATAATGCTAATATTTTTGCATGATATATTTCTATTTCATTGTAGTATAAATGCAGACAAACACATTTGTTGCTGCTATTAATCACAACACCATGTCACTCTCGCCTTGTAATTTTGACTGTATTGCTCTTGCAGTTTCTATTTTTATTTCTATTCTTAGGTTTTATTTGATTTTACACACATCTAATTGTTTATCTTTCACTTTCTGCCCTTGTGTTGCTGCAGCACTGGATTAATAAAGGCGTATCTCAGACATGATGGTCATGTGACCCCGGGGCAGATATACTGTACATCGAGGAACCTCATCCGATCCGATACATGCGTGTTTTAAATGCATTACATTCTTTCTGTCTCCGTGGCATCATTTAGATATTCATACTTGGGGCATGAGGATGCATGCAAACAGCACAACATACATTAGACATGGCTTGGTTTTGGGCTATTTAACAGAATGCTGTGTGCATGTAAACACATTCATTGAAACCGAGGCCTTGGAGCCATTGATATAAGGAAATGTGGTTTGAATGAAAACTTGTCATTTAAGACAATAAAATGTGTTTTAAGCTGCATGCATTAAAATGAGTGCCGGTGGGGTCAGTTATGAAATATATCAAATGTTCTGTTTTTATGTAATGTTCAGTAAGGCATGCAAATTCATAGATCGCTGGATGTTTTGGGGGTTGTTTTTGGATGCCAAAAGTTGATGAAATAGGTTTGTCTTGTGAAAAAAAGGGCAAAAAACACAATCAACTCTATGGTTAAAAGACTAGAACACCTAAAACCACTGTGAGAATGTATCCGCCATTACAATACATTGAACTTCAATGTACAGGGTTCATTTATTTATCATTCTACAACACAAGGTTATATATAGAAGTACTATAGTTGTAGTATCTTTGTGCTACTCAATTTAACAGTCACAATGAACCCAGGACACATTCAGTTTTGAAACCTCCCCACCATCAGACTCTTCTTCACTCAATGCATTGAGCAAGTCTAATGCCTGATGTACATTAGTACATACATCTCTGTCTCTTGTCCATAGTGAAGGGTCGCCTATGACTTATGACGCAGCTCTACAGAGTGCTGCAGGGAATTATGTATTTTTGTAGAAAGTTTGCATCACTCTGGTTCTCTCGACAAAAGGCCAATGGGATTTTTACTTTGGATTATTGCAGAAACTAAGCTCTGTGGTAAACACATGTTATGTTCAGCAAGCATAGCTATTCTGGGTCTCCAGCACCAGACCAGCCCCAGACCAACACAATGGCGTTTTTTTTTTTACATTGTACGCTATGTCTGTGCTCGGTTTGGACCTTGCATCTAGACAAGCATTTCGTTATTAATTTCTGCAGCTTTTGAAATTGAATCCGGTATGGGAAACATTTTCTCTGTTGACCTTTAGTTGAAGTTCAAGTATTTATTAAAACCTTTATCCCAAGCGTGTCTGAAAGAAGTCGAGACAGAAGAGGACAAACCAAACCAGGGCTAATCAATGAATTCCAGAAGAAAATGTCAGAATTCCCGCTCAGAATTCACCAAGGTAAGCCGGCTCACAAGGGAGAAAAGAAATTGAAATAAAATCAGAACAAATCAAAGGGATTCCTCACAAAAATAGGAATGTTTTAATGTGCATGTGATTTGTCGCTCAATATAAAAGAAATGGATAGAATTATATCCACATCCATGTTATTTTTAGAGCTGGAGGGCATTGAGGAACATGTCGTTGTCTGGCCTGAGTTCACGACTGGAGGTTATGATGATAATCAGAAATTGTTCAACATGTGGGCAAATATAAAGCATTTTGTTTTTTCACCATCCAGGATGCCTGGAGTGCAAAATACAGACCGACAGTCAGGTAAACAGCGCTGAGGCTTGTTGGGTGAGAGAACAACAGCCGCAGGTTAGATGCCAAATAATGTCAACGCTTGTAAATAAACACAGAATCAACTACATTCCCTATTTTAACAATTGTTAAAAAGCAATGGAAGAAGTCTTCTCTGCAGAAAGGCTGCATAAAAAACACTCCTTGCATCTTTTTCTCACACTTTACGAGCTGAGGGTAATGTTGCTCATTCTTGAGCTACAGAAAGTCAGGCTTTCATATCCGTAGCAAAAGACGAATGAATGAGAAGGATTACAGCTTGAGGCTTTACTTGTCTTCAACTTTTTTTTGCTGAACTGACGGCTTTTGAGACAGTGTTCCAGTGAAGTGCAACCATTCTTGTATGAACAACCAAAAGTATCTGCACACAGTCTGCTTCACAACATTGAAATGTCTTTTTATTCCTTTTTTGAAATCTTTTATTGCTGCTGTAAAGTCTTTGTGCCTCCCACACTTGGCACTCGAACACTTTGCACCTTATTGTTGGTGTAAGCTGTGTGATAATAAAGAAAGACTACTCTTCCATTTGTGTCACAGCATGCAGATCCACAATGGTGCACTGGGCACCTTTGGGATTTAAGCACCGGTGTTCATAGATTGATGCAATCCGTTTTGTGCACGACAGCCTTTGTATTGATTTTTAAAAAAGAAACAAATATATATATATATATATATATAGTCATATATAGTCTACAGTGACAGTTTGACACAAACTATTAATTATTAATACTGTAAATATTGAAAGCACAGATGGCTAGCGTCAAGATCTCAGCATGAAACAATTCTCTACTACAGCCAATAAGTGTCATAACAGTGGTAACGAAGACCTGGTGTGCATTACACTTTCCTTTCATATACGTACATAGCATAAAACCTGTCTTGCCTTTGCTGATGCAGCTGTTTCTAGGTCAGCAAAGGAATACTAAAACACCTTCTCATAACACCTGAACAACAGAGCAGGCACACAAATAGCCTTTGACTGATTACAAGAGAGAATTCTTACTATTTTTTGTTCCGCCTCTGGACAGTTGGGTCAATGCGTGTGATCTCGCCCTGTGGTTGCTGAATTTCTGCTGTTAGTGCACCTGTGCCGGTGTAAGACGGCAAAGAAAAGAGAAAAACAGGACCAATAATTACTCCTGACTGCTGTTTGGTCTTTTTGGATGAAGAAGAACAGAATATATCACTTTCCAAGCTGCTGTGAATAAGCCGATTTGAGGACATCCAGGGCCTATAGTCCTCCTTAAATATGTTCTGATCTGGGATGAAATAGAAGACACAACTAATAAGCTTCATGGCTGAGTGACTTCTGTTGCCTCAGAGGAGAAACCTGCTGCCGATTGCCTAGAATTATAAGATGAGGTTGGGAACACTCTCCTTTGAGGTTAGAAGCAGAATGCCTGTGTTCAAAGTAATTATGAGGAAAAGCCAGATTCTTTTTTGTTGTTGTCATTCTCACAGACAGTTTGGAAATGCTTTTGTACTGTTATTATAATTTATTTTAACTTTAGGGTAGAGCTGCTCCTCCTGTGAACCTCCTTGCAGGTGGATTATATTTGTAAGGATTTCAAACAATGTTTTTTTCTGTTATAAAATGTATTTTTGTGGATGTGGAACTATAATAGCAATGTTTTTGTGCAGACATGACATTATAAAAATTCATCTTTATATAGTAATAGAAACTGAACAGAACTGTTACAATGAATCAATCTGGACAAATATTTCCAAACAAATTACAGTGAAAACAAGTGCCAGGATGTTTCACCATCGAGGCCACAGGAAGAGCAAATAATATCAGTGTCATCTGTTGTGTTTTGTTGGATGGTATCGATGGAGACGTTTCTCATATGTGACACCTCTTTGGCCATGTTTGTTAGTCAGTGCTTATCACACTGAAGTAAGTTTACTATTTGATAATGGAGAAATAATGCTTTTAATTTTGTTCCAAGTAAGTCTGAGCTCACATTCTTATTTAACAATGTTAATTGCTCCCAAAAATAGAGACAAAGATTAAATAATGTATTTGTGAGAAAAGGGGATTACATTCAAGCAGCCAAGGTGATACTACTTACTTCCCTCTGGAAATGTGGAAGTAAGTAGTGGGATTTATTGAACTAATGAATCTCTTTTAAATGTACTGTAGTCATTATTTAACTAAAACTACAACAGTGACATCTAGCGTCCGTAACACGCACTGCAGGGAGCTCTCACTAGGCCGTATTCGGTTATAATCATAGGCTATAATACTCACGTCTCTAAGGACTTGGCTGCACACCTTTTTTATTCTGTGTATAGTGCATTGTGAATCACAACCCGAGTTTTTGTTATTGTCTGTATTAACATAATAAGAATAAATAAACATGTACTGCAAAATCGCTTCAACAAGGTAAAGAAAAACTATAACCGAACGCAGCCCTCCGGTCTCCGGTCACATGCTAGGCAAGCTGGATCAGCTGACATCACCCAGCTTCTCCTTTCAATGCTCTCGTCTTCTCCATCGACCGATAGCGTGTCTTAAAAACAGCGTTATTTCGTTTTCTTAGCGTCAAATTGTTAGATTGCAGGCGAGGATATCTCGCTGATCCCGCAGGTTAGACGGCCGGATAGATGCTGCTAGAGTGGATGATGAACGGACACGCTATTTTGTACACGGGGGTCACTTTGGCCTTCTGGAGCACCATACTAGTCGTCGGTAAGATTATATTTTTTCCTTTAAAAAAAATCTGAATATTGGAATTAATGAATTAAATCTTATATTTCCTACACTTATGTAACAATGTCCGTGTAGTCAGTCGTTCTTTCTTCATGGAAAAGCGTGTTTTTTGCGTTTGACAGTTAGAATTTGGGACCTGGCTATATCCTGGGACACGAGCGTCTGCAGCTGTTTCCATTTGTTTGCTAGCTACTATTGATAGGTTAAAAAAAATGGAGATAATGTTATTCATGCATGCTATTAATTAATTAAATGGAGACGCCGAAATGTGGTGCTGAATATATTTCACATTTCAAGCGAACTCCTCTTGTATCAGAAGTCGCTATTTTAGTATTTATTGCTACTTAACGTTAAGCTAACGTCAGATAACGTTAGCTCATAGCTAACCTCTTACAGCAAAACATGTCGGAGGTTTAACCGTTGGACGAGAGTGTTTGGGGTTTATTTTGACAAATGTTAGTTCCAGACTTATTTTGATGGGATCCTGGGTTGGTACTCTTTCAGCATTTAACGTAATTTGACGTGGCTAACGTTAGCTGGTTAGCTGTTCATGTAGCTTTAAAGCTACACAGCTGGCGGATTGGAAACGGTCCCAAACAGGAACTGCAGCAGTTTTCACGTGAGAGTGAGCTATCACACCGAAGTTAGAACTTCTTTCCATGACTTTAGCACATACATGTGACACTGTTTCACACACCGCTCATTATTAATGCGGTAACACACTGTACATGTCTGTACTAAAGGGCTGTCACTCACACATACACCAAGCTTACTTGTAAATATGCATCAGATTGACCTTTCTTTACGTTTGATATGATACCTTTTTGTTTCCATAGGTCTCTGCTATACCATATTTGACCTGGGATTCCGCTTCGATGTGGCATGGTAAGCAATCTTGGAATAAAGCTACTTTGTTAATTAGTATAATTTGGGTAACTTTGGGATAAAACGATGTTTAATTGTGGGCCCAAACACTGACACAAATATGACTGCTCAAGCCATATTTTTCTTATTCTGCCATCTGTTAGAATTAGACGGTACAGGAAAAGATACCCTGTTGATGGTCTTGCTTGATTTGTTAACTGATTTCTTTTAGTGACATCCAAGCAAAAATGCCAAATGTGTTGTTTTGAACCACTCAAATGTGAAGATTTGTTGCCTTTAGGTCATGTTCAATAGGCGATGATCAGGCAGTTTCTGTTGAGTCTTCTAACCCTTCCTGACAGTATTCCCTTGCAGAAAATTCAATGTTAAAAGAGACTGTTTACATTTACAGTAACAAAACTACATTGACTTTCCCTAGATCGCACCATGCTGAGAATATCACTATAGTGCAATGCAACAAATACCAGTTTCAATCTGTTCAATATAGAAACAGTATTGCTTAAAACAAATGCGTTCATGTTTTGCTGCTTGTACACTTTTCCTTGTAAAGTGTAGTTCATCAGCTGTGCTTCTTTGCTTGCAGGTTCCTCACAGAGACCTCTCCTTTCATGTGGGCCAATCTGGGCATTGGCTTGGCCATCTCTCTGTCTGTGGTGGGAGCAGCCTGGTGAGTACCTGACAAGGAGCACTGGTTACAGTGGTATGTCGGATGTGTGAGGCGGGTGTGGTGGTACGTGAAGGCCTAGAATGCAGCAGTGATTTCCTCCTCCTCGACGCACTCCAGAAAGTACATCATGTGGAAATGTGGAACTGGAAAATGTTAGAATTGGCAACTTAGGAAAATGCTTGAGTATTGTTTTGGATAATGTTGTGTTCCTTTTTTAGTGTCTGCAATTAACTGGTGAATCATAAACTAATATGGCGGTTATAACAAAACACATTTGATGAGCTTTATTTATATATA